TGTCATAAAACCATTCCTTCCCAAGAATAACGTCTGTGCGACCAAGATCCATAACCTGAAACGAAGGATGGTCGAGAATCCCTTGAATCGTCAAAGGAACACTCGGAGCCCATTCACCGTAAACACGAGTGCTATGTCCATCTGCCATAACCACCTCGTAGATTACTGAACTCTTTTCCACAGGCAAACCAAGTTTCTTCACCACCTTGGAGCTCAAAAAATTGTGTGTAGCACCTGGATCGAAAAGAATACTAACAGCATGTCCTTGAATGTCCCCCTTGGCCTTCACAAGTTGATTGCGCATAGAACCATTAATCTCTACAGAGTTGATACAAACTCGAGACTTAGATTCTTGAATTTTTGCCACAGGGTGTGGAAGAGCCACCACAGCAGATGCCTGAGCTGTATCCACGATGGATTCCACCACATTCACCTTAGCATTCTTTGATCCCTTCACAAGAGGACAATCTTTGCCATGATGTCCAGCCTTATGACAACGAAAACAATTGCCCTCCACCTTGTCCTTCTCTCGTTGGTCTAACCGATGTCTTTTTGCCTCATTGCCATCTCCACTCTTCGAGCTACGACGAAGCAACGGCCGTTTCTTCCCTGAAAATGAAGTATTGGTGGGTTGGTCATCACGTTGACCACCCCGGAGACCATCCTTTTGACCAAAGTTGACCGAGTTGACCGACGGTTTGGGCGAAAAGATTTGAGCCTTAGTGATAGCATCAGTCAATGTTGCTGGAAAATCCTTCTTGACCTTCTGCTGCACATCCATCGAGCTCAATCCTTTGATAAAACATTGCACCTTTAGTAGCTCATTATAGGTGCCCGTGAGACTAAGGCAAAGATCACGGAACTTGCGGGCATACGCATCCAAAGACAAAGTCCCCTGCCGGATCTTTAACAACTGATTCACGAGATCAACCTCTTCAAACTTCTTGACAAATGAAGCACGGAAAACCTTTGTCAAATTAGTCCAAGAAGTCGACGTTGGATTAGCTTTGATGTAGTTCTTCCACCACGAAGAAGCATGGCCCGAAAGCTTCGTCACAAAAAAATCTATCTTTACCTTATCCTCACAAGGATTGTGAGACCAACAACTTTCCCACAATTCCAACCAAGAATCAACCTCTTGACTATCACAAACATCCGGTGATGATTTCCATTCCACGATACCATAATCCTTGGCATGCTTGACATACCAATGGTAATCACGGACATGAGATTGATTCAACCCTTGAGGGTTCATGCGAAGCAAGAAATCCTTAATGAGATTGACAGAATCCTTAACCTCCTTTATGTCGCTCTGAACCGCAGAAATCTGGCGTCCTTGCCGCACAACGACATCATCAAGAGTCTCTTCCGCATCATCATGGCTATCCTCACTAACGCCATACTCCTCATCAAGATCAATATCTTGCTCACCCGCCATCCCCAAAAGAACGTGCTGCTCCGATACCAATGAAACGAACAAGAGAGCGAACCCTAGGCCAACCTCCCAACCCTTAACGCGTTACGGCCTTAAATCCCACAGGCCATAGAATATTCTCGGAATATTCCCGTGGTTCGTGTCAATTAAAACCAGAAGGACAAAACGTGTCTGCTAGGCTTCAAGCCACATAGTAAAATTCTCATTTTTTATGGTTCCTATTGCCAATCACAAAAACAGTGAAAGTCAAGACATAGAGGAAATAACAATGTCCAATTCAGCCATAAGTGCTGGTATCTCAAACGATCCATCAAAACTTTCTTTTTGAAAAGTTTCTTCTTTGTCCATGGGCTCTCTCTCGAAACTTCACGTTGTTCTCATCCCACTTCCAGCACAGGGAAGTTCTAATCATCTATCTCGCCCGCAAGATCGCGCTCCTCGGAGTCACTGTGACCACGAAACTTTGCAGAAATCCTGGAAGAGCCGAGGACAATCCTGTGAATAATGGGCACGAGATTCGCCTCGAGTCCATCTCTATGGACTTGCGAGTTCCCAATGGCTTCCATGAGAAGAACTTCAACGCGCAGGCCGCCTTTTCCCAGGCCATCTTCCGAATGGAGGATCCACTCGCGGAGCTCTTGTCCCGGATCGATCGAGACGGCCCCAGAGTCGCGTGTGTCGTCTCGACTTTTACCATCTCAGTGCTCCACACGCTGCAAAGAAGGCTGGATTGGGCTTTTGGCCGGGAAACGCTGCTTGGGCTGCCATCGAATTCCACGTTCCAAAGCTCCTGGAGATAGCAGAGGTTCCTGTCGAAGGTAAAGCCTTGACCGATCTAGAAGTGTGTGCTAAGAAAACATGGAAGTTCTCAATCTTGTGATTGGCAGAGGGAGTTGACAAGCTGATTTCTTACATCCCTGGAATGCAGCTAAGATCGCAAGACATTCCACTCTTCATGCATGACAGAGAATTCCAGAAAGTCGGGGAAGAACAGTCACTGCATCGCTTCTAAGAGGATCGCACTGGACTCTTGGTTTCTGATGAACGTTGTCCACGACATTGAGCCACGAGTTTTCGAAGCGATGAGGGAAAGATTCGGGGATCCTCCCAAGGGAGAGGCGATCTACTCGACTGGATTGAAAGAGGCTCCGGATGAATCATATCTTCCATGGCTAGACGAGCGTGATCGAGGCTCGGTCGATGTTTCGTTTGGAAGCATCTCCTTCATGACTGCCAAGCAATTTGAGGAGATCGCGCTGGGATTGGAGGCAAGCAAGGTTCCTTTCGTCTGGGTAATACGATCAAACTCTAGTTCTACAAAGGTTTCGTGAGCAGGACTAGGATTGTTCGTGAGGTGGGCGCCGCAGCTAGAGATCTTGCAGCACGAATCAACAGGGGCTTTTCTTCACTGCAGATGGTTGGCCATCTACGAATGCCAAGCTGGTGCTGGAAGGCGAGGGCGTGGGAGATGTGGCAGCATCGAAGAGGCGCAATATCTCCATCCAATCGCCCAATCTCTTCTCCTGGACGATCCTCCTCAATGGGGATCTCGCTCGGGCAATTGATTTCTTCGCAGGGATGCCGCTAAAAAACGCTGTCGCGGCAACGATCATGATCGTCACCTATGGCCAAGAGGGCGACGTGGGTTCCGCTAAGATGGTTTTCGATAAGAATCTCGTTTGCTGTATGTGATGCCCACAGCAAATGCCCAGAACGGGCATTTGCATGAACCAAAGCTTCTCTTTGATATTAAATGTTGCAATATTACAATATTATGCCAAAAATGGTAACTTGATAGATGCCGAGATGCCTTACAGTCTTTAAATCATCTCACACTCTAGTTTTGCATGAGTGACTATTTTCGGCAGAAGCAAGCATTTCAAGAGCTTTGCCAAGTAAGTTGTCTAACTTTCATTTCATTGTCTTCACTTCTGGACTTTTACTTCATGCAAGCATATTTACAAACTCTCAAGATGGTGCTAGAGTTAATATTGTGTTCTGGCATTTTTTGCCCAATTAAACAAGAATATTCTCAAAGGATCAATATAAAAGGGTTTAAATTGCAAAAAGAGTTAATTTTTTATATTTTGGGATTGTGAGAACTTATTGCGGATTGCAATGGAAATAAAAGTAAAATAATATTTGAGATGAATATATTATCTCAAGGTTGGGGAGGATAAACCAGCATATATTTAATACCCTTTATGATGTATGTTACTCTAGGAGAATCAATGATTACAAAATCACAATTAAAAAAAATAATAGTTGTCAAACATCAAATACATCACTTGATCTGGTAAAAACACTTGACTCCTTATAGTTCACAGTCACAAATATTTTGCAAATGTAAATAATCAACTAGAAGAAGGGTATAGATTTGGCTTATAAATATAGAAAGTTTTTAGAGAGGAGAACATTTGGTGCTATGAAAAGCTCTTTTGAGACTATATTTCTTGGGGAAGATTGGCTTCATAAGCATGTGGCAATGATTGATTTTAGGAATCACATTGTTACTTGTAAAATGTAGTGAATCAGATTGGTGGCACAGATTTCAATATCCACATAGGATATGAAGTGAGTAAAGATAAATTCATGAAAGATATGAATAGCACTTCAAAAGATATTGATTTAGCTGCTGGAAAATTTGTGCCTTGAGAAAACTTTCCAGATTTTGTGAGTTCAGGATGTCATCATTTGTGGTTCTCGCTGCAATGAAATCTCCTATGCTTCATTAGGAATAATATTTATGCCTAGGATCAATTGTTATGGCATTGAATGCAACACCAACACTCCTTTCAAGTCCAACAGAGTGGATCTTACAGGTACTCACAAAGCATCCCCAATTGAAAACATCTGGAACAAATAGTATTATACTTATGATCTCCTCGGCATCATCCAAGAGCCTGCAAGAACACCGATCAAGCAGCAATAGTGATCTCACTTGGGGCTTAGATCGCAGTCAGAAACCATTGGAGCCAAGGCGTCTCTAGTAGGGATTACCAGCCCAAGGTGGCAGCAAGCGATCAAAAGGCCCATGAAACTCTTGAATATTCAAGACTTTAAAGAGCTAAATGGACACAGCACCATGTAGATTCTGGGTAAATGACAACGTTCCTGGTCACGATGTTTGGCTGCAAACAGCATCTAAAAAATGCCCAAGCATCGTCCAAGTGTCCTTTTTGCCTGTCGCTCCGATCATGCAGTTCGTTAAGAACTTCTACAGTGTCAAACAAGCACTTTGCTTTGCGTACATGCCCTCGTTCGGCATATGCAGTGACCATAACATTTTATGCTAAGAAAACTGTCCACGAGACAAGGTGTCTTTGAGGCATTGAATCAAAGAAATTGTGTAATTGATCGGTGTCACCTCATTGGGCGTCTGGTTGGAGCATTCCATTCCACACTATCAATCACATCATGCTGTGGCATTCTGTCCAATGTTTCTTTTGCTAGATCACTGCAGCCATGCCGCACAAATGAGTTGATAAGTGTTGCCCATGACACGGAATCTCTCTGCATCATCCTTGCAAAGAACTTTCTTGCTTTGTCAAGATCTCTGCACTGGGCATGCGCAACAATCATAGAGTTCCATAAAACTTGATTGATGATCCTGTCGAACAGCTTCTTTAATCTCAAATGCTGAAATAATCACATTCCACAACACAAAATCTCTCTCGGCCATGTTGCCAAATTAGTTTCTAGCCTTGTTGATCATTCCAGCTTTCACGAATCCAGTGACAATAGCATACAAGGTAGCGCCATGCAAACTACATCCCACTCTGGAATTTGATTAAAAACAAGCCATGCAACGTACATTTGCCAGTTGAAGGCATTTGCCTAAAGAATCACATTCCATGTCACTACATTCTTCCCGGGCAGGAATAAAAAACGTGCAAAGCTGCATGTAAGCTTGGAGCAGGTCTATGAAAAGGAGTTTGGGGCGGGAATGGAGTCCGCGTGCATCGCCAGACCTCCTGCATTTGCCATGCCTTGGAATCCTACACTCCTAGACTACACTACACTACATCCTACAGAATCCTACACTACACGGTGGTGTGGCAACGCCAAGATGCTCGCAAGATCCACGCTTTCGAAGGAACACATTACACGAACAACGTCTACATTGCAAATCTCCTTGTCCAAATACAATCATCCTGGTGAAAGAAGTTCTAGAAATATATAAAAGATTACTCCATAAATCTGAAATGGCTTTTGGTATTTAGATTGCCCATCCACCTTTCAATTTCTCCCTCCTCGCACGCGCGATCCAGTGGTGCTCGAGTCCAGCTAGACACGTTTACTGGGTCTCTACTCGTTAGGAAAATCTTCTCTCTTCACTCGATCTGCATGGGCTTTGTCATCCATCCATACGAGCCGCTGCGGGCGGCTCGTATATGGAATGCTTAGGTGATTTTCTTGTTATTGCTTTGCTTGCTGCGTTCACGACTACAGCTCTACTGCGAGAAACTTGGATATAACAGCTAGTTGTGTTTGAATTATAAAGACCATCCATCTTGGAGTTCTTTTCTTCTTTTCTTTCACGTTGCACCTTTCTATTGTGGGGGCAGGCTCTTTACCACCCAACGCTTGATCAAAACAGCCACGCAAAGTCCTTATGACCAGCATGGTGGCAGCTGTGGCAAATCGTCCTCAAGTCCATGAAATGGAAATTTTCGCTTGCTCCTGCTGCTTTGGATCCACAATGTTTGTTCTTGCACTATAAGAGGAGAACACCAAGGTGCGAGCTGGGCGGCTCGTCAATTCGTTTGGAAAGCTGGACAAAGCGAGAAAAGCTTTTCTTCTCGGCTCGCAAGAGATAAAAAACGAGGTGCAATGGCTTTCTTCTTCTGTTTGATTTCTTTTTTGTGTGTGGATTCCCCATGAAATCCACAAGGAGGAAGTCTTCTCTCCTCTAGAGCCTTCATCCCACTTAGAAATGCCGCAGTGCGGGATGATAAGAGAATGAAATCTGCAGTGCGAGCCGGGTGCAGCGGTCTTTGCTGAAAAGATCGCACCTCGTTCAAGCTCTTTACTCGCTCAACAATATTCCTCAAAGGAAGGCCAGAGGACTCCTCTTTGGAGGAATACACACTACCGTGCCTTGTGGAAGTATGGTGATGAGTGGCGTATTGTTAACAACATGCTTTCCTTCTTTTTTACTTCAGAAGGCATGCTCGCTTCCAGGATGCATGGATCGGAAGCAGATCCATCCGTGCCTCAAAAGTGAGAAAAGCCCCCGCTCCAATTCTTCTAATGAAAACATTAGAGGAATTGGAGCGGGGCTTTTCTTCCAAATGTGAGCAAAGAAACTAGCAAAGCAAGTTCACTAGACGTGCCAGCAGCGCGAAAAAACTTTGTCCATAGCTTGTAAACTTCTTTCCATTATTTGGTAGTTCGTGCGTGTAGCACTTGTTCTTCACTTGTTTCTGTTTTGGGTTCATTTGCACTTGTTATAATCTCCTCTCTCTTTCTCTCCCTCACCGGATCACACCACAATGCAATTGATCACTCTTGTCCCTCTAGTCATTGAGATTTGCATTGATATAGTAGAAGAAATTCGTCAAGCATAAAAAGGACGAAGTATCTAGTAAAACTTAGGCGTCGCAGCCGAGCACGTCTTTGAATTCCTTATCGTAAACTTGGCTGTCCAAGCTCTTCTTGTACTCGAACAGCAGTACGTCATCTTCGAGTAACCGTAGTCATAGTCACGCTTCACGCTCCACGGCGGCGTTGGCGACAGGAACGGCGTGAGCGAACCCCCGGCACCTCCCGCGACTACGCGAATCGTCTCATTGAATTTCCCAGAGTAAACATTGGCCTCATTGCTGATGTAAACCTCCTGCAAAGAACAGACTTTTAGTTCTTCCAAACGAATAGAAAAAACAAGAAAGAGCTCATACTCACATCATAAACCGGACAGGATCGCTCGTAGTTGTGGACGTGGCAGAAGGTGTACTTTTGCCACAAACTGCAGGCTTTCCCTGCTAAATGGCTCCGCAGTTGCGTTCTCGCTGGCTAAGTACCACATAGAGTAGCCAAGGACGCGTATCAACCATGGCTGCTTTTCCCTGTCCGCGCTAGGGAGGCATTCCTCGATCCACTTGTACTGCCCGCTTTTTTCGCGCCAGTCGTGCTCCGAGTCGGCAATGCAGAAGTGGAAAAGCCCGTAATCCGTCGAATACCTGCAAAAGAAAATGTTTCTTAGACCTACTAGAACTTTTCCTATGATTAAAAGATCGAAAGCACCGTCACTTCCGGAGTCCTGTGTTATAAAAAGAACCGAGTTAGGCCAATCCCGTTAATGATATCCACTTCAAAAGGATAATTGTAATTTTATGTATAGTATACCTGGCCGTCATATAAGGGACACGTGAAGTCATTCCTTCAATCTGTTCCGTGAACTGATCCCATTGAGAAATATACCCTGTTGCATAGGATAAGTCTCCAATGTGGAAAATAATGTCAATGTCGTCTCTTTCTTTTGTGATCGTGTCGGCTGTGTTCAGTGAGCCAAAATGAAATCATCGTACATCATTGATCCATCTCTTTCGCGCTGTGTGATCCGTTAGATGAGAGAGAGAGAGAGAGAGAGAGATAGCCGCCTTTGAGTTACCTTTCCCAGATCTCCAAATATGACAACCAGTTTTCACCGATTTAAAATATTTTATCGGACTCATCACGACCAAGTTATCTAATAACTTATGACCAACGCGATAGCTATATCTGAACAAGTATTGCAGAAGTCAAATAAATAAACATGACACTAGAGATGGTGATTTACCTTGTGTTGGGCAATAAATCCTTCATTGATCCAGTATGAATTTGGCCGGGATCACGCCAGCCAACAGTGGACACTCGAGGTCCTGAAGAAAAGTTTTGCTATATTACGCACAAAAATTAAAATAGCCACTGACCACACGTCTCCACGAGACAATGAAAGCGTGCTGGCCGCAGAGAATAACGGAATCTTGTGAAGTGCAATGTGATCCGCAACCTCATATGAAACGAACGGAATTGCTTCGCTGGTTCGATAACCACTACTCCACGTTGATTTGTCTCTTCCCAGTGCTGACGTAATCGGGTGAAGCGGAAGCATTTTGGAAATGCACGCACAAACAAGCAAAGCTAGAAGAGAAGAAAAAAACTCCTAAAACAATGAGGAAAAGACCTTCCACGAGAACAAAGAAAATATAGAAAACAATCGAGTAGAATACAATGAGATCGAAATGTGGGAGCAGTGCACAAATTCTGAGGATATTCCCTGACGAACTGCACACATCACACACGAGAAAGATAATTTTGCTCGAGAGCTCCTCTGTTCCTACATACTTGAACTTTGATGGCGAGAAAACACCAATCCAATTGTTGGCTCCAGAAGACCTTTGGTGAAAGAAAACGTAGCAGCTTTACCTGCCCTAAAATATTCTTCCCGTTTATGAAAAAGGGTTCTCTGCGACCTTGCCAGTATATTTTATTATGCTACAGAGTATCTGAAGCAAGCCATACAATCGCCTTCCACTCTGCCAACAAGATGAGTCTTCAACAATGTAATCAGTTGGGCCCGAATTGGTTGACACTCATTATATTTAAAAATGCATTTAACTATTAATAGATTTTTGTAAAGGTAAGAAATAGTAAATGAATTGTTAATAAGATTTCATAATGTGAAAATAAAAAATGTTATACTTTTGAAACATATTATTCACAATTTTAATCTAAATTATTAATTTAGATAAGACTTAACAAACTATCATTTTAAATAAAATATGAACAAATATGCACATCATCACAAAGAAATCTAACTGATAAATAAATTTAAATTTTTCAGTGTACTAGAATGTTATCACTTTTTTTTGTGAGACAACAAAAAAATGTTTTATAAATTGTTATTTAAGAGAGTTAAATCTTGCTTTCATTTATATCTGGACTCATTGGTTAGGGGCATGCTTGTGTTTGGATAACCAAGACAGGGCAAGGGATTGAAGCATTCTTTTTAAGTGGTCTTCCTTAAAAAGTGATATTTTCTCCTTTTTGGTTTGCTTAAGCAAACTTGCAAGGGATAGTGAATATACCTAAAATATGCTTGGATATTTTAGAATATTCTACCATCTAATGGTTCTTATTCATTTAGATTAATCTTGTATTTATAATTTATAAACATGATTATAATTTATAAACTTTCTTAAACACTTTCTAGTATATTTTATTTTGTTCTATCAGGTTGATATGAAATAAGATTAATCTTGTGTTTATAAATTACAAACATGCTTATAATTATAAACTTTTATTTGATCAATTAGATTAATAAGTAGGAATCACACTACTATTAAACAAACCAAGCATTGCTACATGCAATGCATAGCAATTTATTTAAAAATATATCTGAAATTCTAAAGTGTAATTGGCAAAATTGATATTGAGGGGAGGATTGATCAATGAGCAAAGTGTGTTGTGTCAGGTTGGATTTAATGGAGATATTGTTAAAATGCTTCACAATACTATACTAGTTCATAGTTTAGATGTTTTTAAGCTTTCACTGGCTAATAATGTTATTAGGTGCCTAAAGGCTGTCCTGTTTTTATGAAGGGCAGCTCAAGCTGGAGGTTGTGAAAACACAAGTGCCTATAAACTTTGTAGGAAATTTTTCTATGAAGCAAAAGCCAATATCTCTCAACACTACAGCGGACATTGGCCAGCAAAAGGCAGCAACAATTCTTCAAGCTGCATACTAATCCACCCTTCTCATAGCAAACAACAACAAATTCTCCAAACTGCATACCATAATCCACTGGTCCATGTAAAAAACAGATGAATGAATGAATGTTTTCCTTTTGCGGACACTAAGCCATGCAATTTCAATGTGTAGCGTGCACCTAACAATAGCAAGATTTTCAATTGAGTCTATTAAAATAATAATTTACTGTGTGTTGCATGAAGCAATATTTAATTTCATTAATAGTAGTATTATTTTTATTTATTGATCTAATTAATCAAATGAAAGTTTATAATTATAAAACCCACCTTCAAACCTAAAGGAGATAAGAATCAATTTGCACGGTGCCTTTTGACTAACTTTTTCCTGTCAAACTACAAGATATGATTATTTCTCTAAAACAAAATGCAGTCTTACTAGAGATTGGATCGGTTGTGATGTTCGTTGTGCTATGTATATTTCCACCAGAATTCCCTGCATTCACAACATGTGATAAATTCGTTGCCACAAGTAGAAGCTCACCTCCATGTCAGCTTCGTATTGCTGCAAAAGCTTCAAGTATGTTGTGCTCTCCATTTCCTGCTTCATTGCTTTGCCTTGCGACATAAGAACAGCAACACCTGCGGCACAGGGAACTCCCGATCCGAGAGGCGTAAATAAATTATGCCGACTCACCAGTCTCTTGTCTTAATACGCGTGCAATCTGAAGCAAAACAAAGTTTCTTCACACATCAAACAAGGAGAAAGAAAATACAAAGTAAACTACCTCCAGAGTAACTTTTGGACAACGCCAATCGCGAGCCTGTGTACTTCCTAATACAAAACACAGAATCAAACGCAGCCATGCGTGAAGTGTGAGACTTCTTACCACAGCGAACACCAAAGGGCATGTCACAGATGACCCAGTCCACACATCCGGATCGCAAAGGCATGAAAGTAGCATTCCACTGAAGTATATCGCATGCGTCACTTCCTGTAATAAGAAGAAAAGCAACAAACCAGTTGAGCTCAAGAATACCTCGAGCATTTTCTCCAGCTGCAGCCACAGCGGACGGAGAAATATCCCCACCCAAGCACAAAACTTGTCCACGGAAGCAATCCGCCGCTTCTAGAGGTATAGTTCCACATCCACACCTAAGGAGCACACCACCGTAGAATAGAAAACAATCACAATCTATAATTCACGTACATGGGGTCCAGAACGACGTCTCCGCATTTGATGTGTCCAAGTTGCACAAGAGCATACGCCACACTGCGTTAAAAACTGTCACAATTGCGGCTCAAGCAGTATAAATCTCGGCAAAAGCTCGCCACACACACCTAGGCCTCAAGGACGTTGGAACCAGCGCCTTTCTGTAGAGCCTTTTTGAGTAGAGCTAAACGAGATCACCAAATCAGAATTGGACACTAGATGCTAGGAAAAAACGTGATTGCTGACCTGAGAATCTGAGCGACTGGGCCTAGGAGCTTTCCTGCCATCGACAACTTGCTCGGTTGGTTTACTATAGAGCGAAAGAACCAGGTAGAATAAAACAACAAAAACGTTTATCTCTTACCCGTAGAGAAGTCCAATCGCTACAAGAAGCTCGGAATCTCTCAGCCATGCAAACACTTCCACTGCAAACAATGTACTTGAAGACGAGGCAAAACCAGGCATCCACACAAACCGTTATAGCACCTCATGTCCGCCGGCCAGTTATGGAGATTATAAACACTTTCTCCCAGCGCAGCTGCGATTAAGTGAAAGCCGCACTGCGTTTCTTGTCATTTTGATGAAAACGAACATACCTGCAACATCCACCGACGAGAATGGGTGTTTCTTCATCTTGAGGCACTTCCGTTCACAGGTTACTCGAAACGTAAGCGGTGATTGTAGCATCCTGTCTTGCATCGCCTGCCACTTTTGAAAGAGCAGCAAAGCCGGCTCCCATGAAATCTGCAAAACGCAGTGAGCTCTGAGTGATTTGAGTTACATTACCTTGGAAGCCAAGCTTTTCAAGTAAGAAAGAGCGCCATCCTTGTGCACAGGAACATCCTTTCAAACAAGTTCATGTCAATTATACCTCTTCTTTTTCTCTATTGAAACTTACGAAATCACACACACACCTTGAAGTGTCCGAGATAAGCGTACACATTGTCTGCCGCTCTCAGCTTGAAAACATCCTACCATTCATTCAACAATGTCAGCCAATCACGAGAAAGTTCTCTTCGACCTCTGGCGACGATTCAGTTTGGAAAAGAATGCCTCCATAAAAGCTCACTGTGGCCTCTTCGATTCTCGTCCCTGGTAGCCTTTCAACCTGGAGTGGTCGCGATTTGGGATGAATGGATCGATGAAAGAGAAAAAAGATTACCTCCGAGACGAGCACTCTCTCGACCCCCGCCGCGCAGGACGCATAATAGAGCTCCATAGCTAACTAGCTAGGGCTCTTGATAAGCTAGGAACTTCCTTTCTTTCAAACAAAAATAGAAATACATGGTCTCGCGAGAGAAAATCACAGTAAGGAGGCCTAGAGCACCAATGGAGCTCCCAAGTGCAACGTTGGCTCTGCCGCCACGCGCTCCAGAATGTCGGGAAAGTGGAAGACTTCCTTCCTCTCAAATCCTGGGAATGACGAGCAACTCTCCTCAGCTGGCTCGTTCAAATCAATCCCACCACTGCCACCACCGCCGCCACTGCCACTGCTCTCCGGCATCAGCTGGAGCGGCTCCGACGAGTCTTCGTTTAGATCGATCCCGCTGGTGCTCAGATCAAGATCAATCCCACCGCTACTGCTCTCTGGCATGAGCTGAAGAGCGCCTCCTGGTTCAGCTCTTGTGAAAGGCAGCGAAGAAGCCTCGGAGAGAATCGAGTCGAAGCGGTGGATAAACCATGGAGTGTCGTCGCGGGGCTCTGTGAGTGAATGGTATGCCAGGATCTGCCAGTGGGAGCAGCTGAGCGAGAAGCGGTGCTGGTCCTCGCAAGACTCGTCCGTGCACGAGTACCTGTGCTCCTCCAGGCACCGCCCGTCTTTACAGCCAATCACTTCCACGTAGAACCTCGAGTTTGTGTGCTTGGCCCGGTAAGCCAGGCTGCTGAGCCCATCGATCGTCACTTCACACCCTTGGACGAACAAGTGCTTGAGATGCAGCTCGCTGTTCAAAGCGATTTCTTGCATGCCTGCGTAAGAAACCAGTGTTAGTTTCGCGTCCCCACATAGTTACCACTCACTTTCATCACCGAAACGGCACTTCCGGATTTCAAGCCTCTGTAGTTTGTTGCAGCCGCGAAGAACTGGTACCAATCCCATGTCGCTGCTGCCACAGTGGACAAGGGTCAGCACCCTGATCTTCTTTCCATATTCGCCAATTGCAGCCACGCCCGCGTCGGTGAGGAACTCAACATCCGCCTGGACGTCGAAGCAGAGCGTCAAACGGTAGAGCGATCTGCATTCCCGGACGAGTGCGGTCACCCCTTCGTCCAGGCACTCCCATGGCATCTGCGAGAAATACCAATGTAAGAGCTTCCAAACACACTAGTAACTTACGTTCTCGCCCGTGCTACTTGACTGGATGAGACATATTCGCACGTCCATCAAGTTCGGGCAGTTGTAAGCGAGCGCATAAAACGCTTCGTTGGTGATGAAAGATGGATAGAAAATGAGCTTCTGCAGGTTTCTACAGCCTTGTGCAACCGCCATAAGGCCGGCGTGTGTCACCACCCCACCGTCAATTGCAGAAGGACTCTCAACGACAAGCCTGTGTAAGTCTTTGCAAGAGTTCCCCAGCGCTTGCAACCCGTGGTCTCCAGCCAAGTCTAACACCTGGAAACATGAAAGGAACATGGAGGTGATCAATGAGACCTGGACCTGGAAAGTTGAAACACTTACCCGAAGATACTGCAGGTTAGGACAGGCTCGAAGCACCTCCGCTATCTCCACCTCGGTAAGGTTGGAGTAAGATAGGTCGAGCCTCGTCAAACGAGAACTGACCGACATAAAAGCGTGCATTCCATCGTCCACTAGATCGAAGATGCCGGACAGCCCCTCCAGTGCAGTACACTTTGCCAGTAACGACGTCTCGGAGTTGCTGTTGATCCGCTCGATCCCAAGGTCACTTAAGTTGGAAGAGCACTTTTGCAGCACAGGCAAAAACCGCTCGGAGTTTTGAGTCTCGGACTCCCACAGCTTTAGCAGCTTGCAACGCTCGGCCAACTTCACCAGCACCGCTTCATCCACGTCGCCCATCTCTATAAGTGACAAGTCCAGGTATTCGAGGGCGGGACACGAGTTTACCAGGTCCTTGAGCCATTTGGTATCACTAGTGTTATCAATCATCGACTGTGCAAGGCCCAAGTGGGTAAGATTCCTAGAAAAAGAAAGAAAAAAAATCAGAACTTGGAATGAGCTCTAAGAAACACAAAGGAAGAGAGGAAGAGTAGGAAACCAAAAGCGACAACTTACTTGCAAAACTTGGCGAGTGCTTGGAGACCCTTGGTGCTAAAGCCGGAGCACTTGTCAAACTGCATGATCTTGAGGTTGGGACCACAGGCAGCACAGAGCTCCTCGATCTGAGAGTCGGTGATCGTCATCCTCTTGATCCGGAAGCGGTTAAGCTGGGGATGAGCTTTGATAGCTGCAATCCAAGGTCCTGCGTGGCCGGCCCAATCCCTGGGGAGTATGTCGAAATCCACGAGCCGAGGATTCCCTTTGATGGTAATCGATCTCACGCTGGGAAATCGCTCGAACAGCTTCATGGGGTTGACAGCGTACATGTTGTAGACCAGGACATGATGCCTCGTGCGAGCTTCCAGCTCGTGAAACCGCTTGCACACTGCCGAGATAGCATTTCTCTCCACGGGCTTCTTGATGTAGCCAAAGATCTTCTCCAGGACGTCGTCGATGCAGCACAGCAGGCCCCTGGAATCGTCAGGCACCCGCCTCCTGGTGGATTCAACCATCTCTCCCCGGTCAAAAAACCCCTATGCCTCCAAATCTCGGCTTCCTACACCACACAACTCCTGGACATCGCGAATCGACACTCAAATCTCACCCCTGGCAGACCTACACCACAGAACTCCTGGACACCGCGAATCAACACTCAAATCTCACCCCTGGCAGAAGAAATCTCACCCCTGGCACAGAACCTCGCCTGGAACACGGCGCTACACACCAGATCCTTGGAGATGGCCAGCTTACTCCATAGCGCCCACGGAATCCCACCCTCTGCTAGCAATCGAGCGAATCCGCTTGAGTATCTAGAAAGCGCCACATTCCCCTCGACCCCTTCCCATCTATCTTCATCCACAGTCCCCTACCGTACTCTTCCAGCCAGTCCATGAGACGAGCGCCATATGGCCCAATATCGTACTAGCTATGTCTTTAAAGAACTCTTTTACCAATTCATTTTTCCGGACATGCGCAAGGGACCACCACTCATATGAAAACCCGTCTTTTTTGCGGGGTGGTAAATACGTCGCGAGCTCGATTCCCTAGAACACCATATTCCCTTTGATCAGATTTTCTCGCCGAGAACAAAGCTTCGTCTACCAATTTCTCAAGGAAAAGTCCAACTACAAAGAAATAAGCGTGTGTTAAGTAGCTCGATATAAAAAAAAGAGTTCTTTTTTTTCTTTTCCTTACACCTTCAAACACGGGTGTCAAGGAGCTGCTTGTACTCCATCAAGAGCGGGCCAATGTCGTCAATTCTCACCTGGAAATTTATCCATTCTAAGGTGAGTTCAAGGAGTTGAATTTTGCAAAAATCACAGGCGTCGATACCTGGTTTGATGTTTGGAGATGATAAAAGCGGTGCACCTTGATTTTTTCTACACCTCCCGATCTTTTCCCTTCCCTGTGTTTCATAAAGAAAGATAAAGTTTAAAGGCCGGACGATGGAAAAAAGCGAGAGGAGTTTTGGCGGCATACTTTTCCTCGGTGGCAATCAACCATTGGTAATCTCTCAAGAGGATATCCAGCTCTTTGAAACGAATCGAACGGGCGTCACATTTTCTCCAGTGCTCGCGCAAGGACTGAAAAATATTCGACACCGTGAGGAGCCACAAGAAGCATGTGTTTTCTTACCTCTAGCGTGCTTCGGCCATGAGGATCTATGGCTTGGGCCAAGTCATTCAAAGCACCTTCAGTCTTGATGGATTCATGCACGGCTGGTTTTGCAGGAGGAAGGCCTATGCGACTTCTCAGTATGTTGAATGGCGATACCAGTTGTTCCTCGTCTCTAGCCTGCAAAAACAAGTTGAAGATAATCAACCGACTACATGGTTGCCAACACATACGTTATTGTCGCTGCCTACATCTGGCAAAGTAGCAACCAAGGGCGACGAGACACGGCTGGAAATGGGATCATCTGCAAGATCACTGTGTCACGAGGCGTCCACACATAATCGACAGTGACAACTGACCTTCAAGCACAAGCCACCAAGTATCTCCAAACGTCGATTTCCCGTCAAAGCCACCGAAGAGGAGGAAGCGGGAGCCGATCTGCGTTAACGAGTGGTATGCCCGAGCCGGAGGCGGTTCATTGGTCACGGAGAGACGCTTCCATTGAACAGAGGCTACACACACAATGACATCAAGGCACGGAAGACTTGTGCACAAGAAAACAAGCTACCTCGGTCAAGAACGATACAATCGTTATGGTAGATATCATAACGGGTTAGCCACCCAGCTGTCCCATGACCTCCAAAAACCAATAACTACAACAAAGACAAGCAACTTATAGAATGCTTAGAAAAAGAAAACAAAATGGACAATAGTGTCACTCACCTGCGGCCCTCCACTTGTCGTCGTGTGTCCACAGCGAGGAGCTGGAGCCGAGCCCGGAAGCTTGAGAAGAGTCCACGCCGCGGGCTCTCTCTCTTCCCTAGTCCCATTAGTAATCAGGATACAAGTCATCAAACGCAAAACTAGCTCTAGTCACCTTCGTCAAACAGCCCTTTCAGGGCCCAGAGGTCACCAAGAACAGGGCCTCCACCACCTGCAGGAAACATGGTAAGCATGTCTGGTCCTCGAATCGCACCTCCTGTGCGTCGTACGTACCTCTTCCACCGAAAACGAGCAGCCGTTTCTCGACCATCGTAGCCGTGTGACCACATCTAGGAGGAGGTGAAGGACCGACTACTGGTAGCTGCCTCCATTCCAGAGACACTGAAATGAGAATGATGATCAGTCTAGATGTTTGTGAAGTTGGAACTTACTGGTGTCGAGCACAAAAACATCTGAGAGCCATTTCGAGCCATCCCATCCGCCATATCTGCTCAAGAAGATGAGTGGTAAACGTAGCAAAAGAGATTCCCGTGAACACACTCACATGACAATCTTTCCATTCCCCACAGACGCCCCGGCGGCAAAGTCCCGAGCGCAGGGAAGTTCGCCAAAACCAGTGAGCTCGGACCACTGCCATGTATCTGCGACAAGCTTTTACAATCGGCATCCGAATTAGACAGACTCACCAGTGTCTAGAACCCAAAAATCTCCAAGTCTACAAACAAAATCACGAGCTTAAACCACGAAGAAGAAAAGATCAGTATGTACCTCTTGCGACCACATCGACCTCCAAAGACAAACAAGTTACAGTCCATGGCAATGGCAACGTGAAAGGCTCGAGGGCAAGGCCCCGCCACTCCATCGCTGCCACTTCCAGAGCACTCGGGCTGAAACCACACATTGTTCTCTACATGCAAGTAAAAATCATCGAGCCCAGAAGTGGAAAGAATTCACAGAAAATGCGGCTATACCAGTGTCTAGAACAGTCAAATCCTGCAAAAACTTCTTGTCCACGAGCCCTCCAAAGACGACGACGTGAGTCTTGCGGATGCGAGTCGCGGTGTGACCGCTGTAGGCGATTGATTCACTTGCATCGTCTAAGAAAACGCAGCAATTCAAGTACCTGCGAGGCGATGGCGCCGCGCCCTTGAAGTCGCCCTCGGCCGATCGCACCCACTTCATAGATCCAAGCCCTAAAATATATTTACCATATGCTATTGTTCTTTGTGCGAACCCTTCTTTTTCGTCAGAATTCGAATCGAAAGAAGTGAAGAAGCTACATGGGATTGCAACATTCTACCACACTTAAGTTCTTCCTTTTGCTCAGACTCTTTTCTAGAATCCTCGGTCTTCGAATCGCTGGACGTGGCGCTGCCGGGCGATGATCCACAGCGCATCACCGCCGTCGGCAGAGAGATCACCAAGAGCCTGGTGGAGGGAACGAATTGCGAGTGCCCGGAGAAGCAGCGCGAGTGGCAGCGATGCATCGATGGCGCGGGGCTGTGGAGCGGCGCTGAGCCACTACACGGTGAGCCAGGCGCGATTGCTCCTCTGGCTCTACAACAAGAGTGAGAATTTCACGCTGCTTCAAGGGCCTGGGAGCTTGTCTCTCGGCTGGCTTGGCACCTCCATCGTCACCGTCTCGGCATGGTACTGCTAGCTAGGCAATTCTTCCTTCTTCTTCCATCTCCTTCCATCTTGCCCTCCACTTGTCGTCGTGTGCCCACAGCGTGGAGCTGGAGCCGAGCCCGGGAGCTTGAGAAGAGTCCACGCCGCGGGCTCTCTCTCTTCCCTAGTCCCATTAGTAATCAGGATACAAGTCATCAAATGCAAAACTACCTTCGTCAAAATGAATAAAGTGAAATTTCTTCTTTTGAAAAATAATAATTACTCTTCAAAATGATGCATAATTAGTATTACAAAATTGTAAAACCTAAACTGAATTTGCCTCATGTAGTTTTCTCACCTTGGAAGTCTAGTTAAATTTGAAAACTACATTAGTGGGCTTAATATGAACTGAAAGCAGACCACAGAATGCTAGACTGAAAATATTGCAAAGCCAGAATCCACTAAGACCATGTGGTGAATGGAGAAGACCAACATAAATTGTTCATCCTCCATCAATTCTATACCACAAGCTGTGGAAGAAAGTAGATGAAGAAATAATAGGACAACACTTTTTATCCAATAGTCAAGACATAATGAGATATATCTTATTATCTGTGTATGTTAGAGGAGATAACCCTTTGAAACTTTAAACACATCCATTAGTTTTCTCAATGATTGATATAAAACATTTCAACATCATTATCGTTATCTTTAGATACAATTACCTGACAATAATTCTTACTTTCTGCTGCAATATATCCTCAACCCTAACAGGCATATGTTGACATGAAACCACAGAAATATTTCCCATGGTATGTGGGATTTAAGGCCGTAATGATTTAAGCGTCAAGAGGTTAGCCTAGCTTGTTTGTTTCATTGGTATCGGAGCGTCATGTTGGCAGGTGAGCAAGATATTGATCCTGATAAGGAGTATGGCATTAGTGATGATAGCCATGACGATAAGGAAGAGGCTTTTGATGATGTTATTATGTGGCAAAGACATCAAATTTCTAAGGTTCAGAGCAATATAAAGGAGGTTAAAGATTCTGTCAATTTCATTAAGGATTTTTTGCTTCATATGGACCCTTAAGGGTTGAATCAATCTAAACCCTAAACCCTAAACTAGTCAACATCAGTCAAAAGGAAGCTTAAGGGTATATTAAGACATATTAGGGTAAGGGACTTTGGAGCGGGGAGCTTTTGAGGTAGCTCGGGGGTGGTTGGGTGGTGAGGAACCTCAAGAGGTGGCATAACATAGTCTAGGGCGACTAAATCTCTGTCTTTTTGCACCGGATTATAACATTCATATTAGAAAAGTTGATTATAATGGTTGACCAAGCTAAATGTTGGAATCTTATTGTCGATGGTGGTGCTGAAGATGGTGCCAATAGAGCTACGGAGATTTGGACCATTCAAGATGTTGTTTAGGAGCTGTAAGTCCTTAATCAAAATCAACAATAAATTCAAGACGAGATATATGGCATGATGGATACTATGCATTAGTTTGTTGAGGCACTCGAGGCTGGATGTGGTAGTGTTCCAAGTAAGCCTTCCTTGGTAGATTGACTCAAAATTCTAACTTTTTCCAATGATGGTGGTGTGGACGAGTGTCTCGCTTGGCTAGCCAATGTGAAGAAGGGGAACTCTAGATGCAAAGGCTTTAGTGGCTATTCCAATGGTTTTGCATGATGCGGGCTTTCAGCAGTAAAATTGGCTTAAAGAGTCTCGTGTTGCGAATAAAAAACTACCAGTGTCAACCATGGATGAGTTTAAGGTTGCTTTTCATTTACATTTTGCCCCTCACTACGATGTGGAAAATGCTTGTACAGAACTTCGACATTTTTAGCAAGGGAAAATGATGCTTGGGGACTATATTGAAAAGCTTACTTGCTTGATTAGCTGTGTTCTAACGAAGGATCCAGATCAAAATAAGTCCTACTTCATTAATGGCTTTCATAGTGAGAGCATGCGGCAACACTTGCATCATTCTCAGCTTACAAAGAGCTCTTTGATGCGGTTTGTCGACTTGACAATGACAAGTACAAGTCTCGCAAGTGTTTGCAGAGTCCTTTTATCGAGAATCGTCATAATGAGCACTGTGGACACAAGGATGGGAACAAGCACCACAAGTTGAAGTTTCTGATGACTACTTCAGATGCAAAGAGGTCAAAGAAGCAGAAGTTCTTTGTGAAGAATTATAAATAGGGTTGTCATCATTGCAGTGAGCTTGGACACTACAAAGTTAATTGTCCATAGCTAAAGAACAAGTAGTAGAGCAAGAAGAATGGCTAATCTTCTACTGACGGTAAATTAGATACTAAAAAGTTGCAAATTTTGTAGCATGAGGATGACGGGGATGACCATTCCGATTGGAGGGAGAGTCTTTCGATTGTTGCTCGTCAACTCAATTGTGTGTGGAACAAAATGGAGCTCGAGAATACTCGTGAATTAACTTTAATGTTGGAAGGTGTGTTCCATGGCAGTCTAGTGTGGATTTTACTGGATAGTGGGAGTGATGACAACTTTGTTTTGGCAAAGTTTGTTGCGGAGCATGGCTTGGTGACACGAAGAGTTTTTCTATACACGGTGGAAGCTATAGCTATCTTTGCTTAGCATTTCGATACTTGTGTAGAGAGGGTAGAAGTGTTAGTTGGCAAAACCACACTTGTGGAGATTTTTTATTTCGCGAATATCCATTGTGTGGATCTCATTCTTGGGATGCTATGGTTGGTGAAGGTGAATCCGGAGATAAAGTGGAGTATAAAGCGTGTCTTGCTATAGTATGATTATGTTAAAAATGTGTGGTTTAAAGAAGGAGTTCAACCTCCAGTTGTTATACTCTCCACTACATCTTTGAAGCAGGCTTGTCATAATGGAAAAGCACTTTTGGGTTACTTGTTATTTGTTCGTGACTTGGGAGAGAAGTAGCAATACAAGATGTACTCGATAAGTTTTTTGATGTTTTTCCATCTGAACTTCCTTATGGGTTGCCTCCATTACAAGGTGTGGAGTATGGGATTATGTTGGAGCTAGGGATGTGGCCAATTTACCAACATCTATTTCGGTTAAGTTATGCAGAAGAGCAAGAAGTTCAATGACAAGTCAAGGAATTACTTGAGTTTGGATTTATTTAGCCAAGTAAGTTTCCATTTGGTGCTTTGGTTTTGCTTGTGAAGAAGGATAGTTCAATATGGATGTGTATTGACTACCATGTCTTGAACAAGAAGATAGTGAAGGATAAAATGCCGATGCCATGTGTGGATGATATCTTAGACAAGTTTAATGAAGCATGAGTGTTTACCAAGATTGATTTAAGGAGTGGATATCATCAAATTGCAATGGATGATGCATCTATCTCCAAGATGGCATTTAACACAAGCTTCGGACATTGTCACAGAATTTTTACAAGGCCTATGTGAGACTTCTACAGAACAGAAAGGGCCATGAGGTGAAGAAGGAGCTTGAGCAAGCTGCAGAATTTGATTTCCAGCAGAAATGTCCATTTAGACCCATGGTAAAAACATAAATCATTGAAATATGTAATAATTATTTCAGTATGTTTAGACCTTCTCGTCCTTGGAAGGGGAAAAACCAGTTCTTCGAAGTAAGTTTTTGGAACGACTGCAATTATAGTTATGCCGTTTGGTTTGACGAATGCACCAGCCACATTTACTCGGTTGATGACAGAGGTATTTTGGCATTATCTTCATGAGTTTATGGAGATTTTCTTGGATGATATTCTTGTTTTCAGCAAAAATATAGAGGAGCATAAGGTGCATTTGCACAAGGTTCTTTTGTTACTCTGTGACAACAAACTTTATGTGAAGAAGAGCAAATGTGAATTTGCAAAGTCGGAGGTGGAATATTTAGGCTATATTGTGACATCTAAGGGTGTCAAGATGAATCTAAGGAAGGTGGTTGTGGTGGAGAGTTGGCCTACACCAACTTTAGTGGCCGAGTTATGCAGCTTTCTTGGAATGGCTAGTTATTATTGACATTTCCAACATAAGTTTGCGGAGGTG